GGAAAAACATGGTGCTTTGTCATCTTTTGCATTTAAAGTGGATAATTTTGAAGTTTTCATCTTCATTGCACCAAACAGTTTGTTCTCATTATGCTCACCATTTCAACAAGCACATAGGCTTACTTAGGGAATGACTGATTTAAGTTTAGGTAATGCTGATTTGTGTTTAGTGCACATAACTTTTCTCTTAATGTGGTTCGTGGTGCCAGAAACTCCAAAACTAGGTGCCTCTGTACCTAAAATATTAGGGTTTTATTTCTAATTATGTTCAAGTCATTTCTTTGAGACATTCCATCTCTGTTTTCTCATCTTCTTGACCTTCACAACTCAGATTAGCAGAAAGCTTTCATTCTAAAGCTGTGGCTGTTTATATATAAATATGGAACAATTACTTTCCAGTGTCCTGGTGGCAATGATTAAATAGAACAGTGGCATGTTATTACGAGATTTAGTTGAACTTTGTCACAGCCTTTGTATCAAATTATCTCCAAGAATTGTAGACTAAACTACATTTTTTTAATTTATCTGAAATTACAATAACAGTTTAAATCCTTGGATGAAATTGTTAATCTGTAACTTGGAAGGAATGATCAATGATGAATATTTGTAATTTTTAGTCATAGGAAAACTCTACAGTTTAGTAATTGCCCTGATTTGCTAATTACAAGTGAGCTGGATGGCAATAGTTAATACGAGTCCTGGGTATTGAGGGGAAAAAAAGAGCAGTTAAAGCACTTTGTGTTGTATGGTAGTTTCAGAATGTGCTAATGGGATTCCTTTTGTCAAACTGAACCAGAAGCTGTGCCTCAGCAGCACACCTACTGTGCTCAGTACTAAGAGACACTCGGTCCATAGGATCAGCTAAAGCTAGTTTAAAATAAGCCTCTCTCCTTTGTATGTGCTGTGTGGGCATACAGTCCTGCACACCTCTTTTCTCTGCAGATTCAGTCCTACCCAGCCATGCTGCTTGCTATGTCAGCATTGGTTGGGGAGAACTCAGTAACCATTCCTTGTACACTCATTAATAATATAAAATAGAAAATCCTCAAATCCAAGAACTCCAGCTCGGGCAGATGCTTCTAGTCAGTAATATAGAGAGCAATGAAACTGGGCAGCAGTAAAAATGACAACACGCAGCTCTTGTTGGACAGAGATCTGAAAAACAGAGGCTTGGATATAAGCTATTCATTGTGTCTTCTGCAACTGAAATGGAAGAGTAATTGGGTCTTTAAGCACTAAAGTGGGGAGTGATGAGTGGGGAAGCAAACACAACCTGAGATCAAAGCTGTGTGCAGAGCATAAGCCTTTGAATAAAACCCATGCCATTTCACACTTCCCAGGACCTACATGCATTATCTGCTTATCAGGATAGTTTTCCTTGATCACAGAGCTAGAATAATGTACCATGCAAGACCTTATTTTTTCAGTTTCTGACTAACAATTTACATGTTCTAATCAACTGGTACCTAAAAAGAATTTCAAACACTGACTTTTAAATTTTCTCTTTGTCAGTAGGTAGTACGCACTTTGCTGCTACACGATCTATTAATTTCAATGAATTTTATGTAGTGATTATTATTGTACCTGGTTTGGCTACATTATCACCTTCTACTGTCTTCATATGCTTAAGAAGATCATAAAAACTGCTTTAAAATGCCTGTTCTAAATCTTAAGTGTACGTGTAACTTGACACATCTAACTTAAAGCTATTGAGATTAAACTGGCCATTAAACAGACTTAAAACACTAGCATGAAATGTAATTGTTTTCTGAAACTTGCACTTACAGTCTTTACTTTAAAACAGGAATTTATATCAGATTAGCTAAGTTATTCAGAGATGATCCCAAATATACTATAAACCCACAGGCTGTTGAAATTTGAATTACGTCTAAGCCAAAGTGCCCATAGAAATATAAAAGCCTCGTAAGGAACATTGGTAGATTCCTCAGTGGGGAATAAAGTGGACTAAGTGAAAACATTACATTTTGTGTTCAGTACAATGTATGAATGAAAGTGCATTGGGCACATGCAGCATATTTGAAGGGTCTTATGTCTACAGGGGAAATAGTATTTTTCTGCTGCTTTGATGACTGGATTAAAAAAAGTTTGTTGAGCATTTGAAGCTGTGATTTTTTTAAAAATTAACTTCCTGATTTGGGTTGTTTACCAGATGTAATTACTTGGCTTCAAGATCGGTTTGCCATGACAACTCAGAGTGTATTCTTAGTAGCTTTTTTATTCTTAATTAAATGCTTTGCTGTATTCTTCCTTACTTGAGTTATACTAGACAGGTAGCACTACCTATTGCTGTATCAGTTTCCATTGTAACCTCCTGTGTAACCTTATAAAACATCTATCATTTCACACTGAATTTTTCCATGCTTGGAAGCCAGATTTTGCTTGCCTGAATCTATCAAACATTCTTCTGCTTCTCCAGTGCCTGGCTGCTCATTCACTTTTAACAAGAGAACTGAATGTGTGTTAGAAGCCCTTAGTTTTTCTTGTCAATGTTTATCAAATTGTTATTTTGGCTTCAAATGCTAGCATCTCTCATGTTCAAAGCATAATGCTGATTAATGCCCAGAGACTTTCTATTGTAAATGTTTAACTTAGAAAGAGGAGAAACACAAGCAAGTTAATCGCTACATATCCTACAATAAATTTCTTTATGGGAAATTAGGCAACAGTGTGATAGATTTCTCCAAGAAATGTGGTGGAGTAATTCTGACTCTCTTCTGTCCCTAAATTAGGCAGCTCTTTGAAAAATATTGTTATAAATCACTAGCACTTAATAATATTCTTTTCCAAAGTATTTTACAAGTATAAACTAAGCTTTACAGTACTCCATTAATACAGGTCAGGAGGTTTTGAAATTGCTTTACACCTGGGGAAACTGAGGTAGAAATGTTAAGTACTTTAACCCAGGCCACCTGAGATTTAGAATGCATATCTCTTATCCATTAGTCTGGTGCTGAAATCATAGGATTACATCATTGCCATATTCCCTCACATAGGATCTGTCGATAGCCCATTGAAACCAGTAGGGAAAAATGCCAGATTATGTCAACCAGTCTCATGTCTGGGTTAGACTTCACATGTCACAGCTTGTGTCTGTGGCAGCCAGCTCAGATTCAGGGGGAAGCATAGCCATGGACCTCTCTTGGTGGCCTTACAGGGAAACTGTAGCTATCAAATGTAGATTTATTCTCCATATTTTATTATTAAGTTCTGCATAAATAAAGTCAGTTGGCTAAAGTGTACAAGTGAGACCTCTGCTGCAATAAGCTCTATAGAAATGTCATGGTAATATGATGTGAATGTGAATTACTCTTATGTAGGCCTGATGAAGAAATCCTCTTTCAAATCTTGTTCGGTCTTGCATGCTGAAATATGACCTTTACCCTAGTCTAGACATGTCCTTTGCAAGCTATTTCTAGTTTATATGAAGATTGCTTGATTTAAAACAAGGATGTTAATCTGTTGCTGTCACGAACGATGGGGTTTGCAGTTGGAGAAGCTGACAGCTTCTTTGCAGAACAGAGTAAGCAAAAGCATCATAAGCTTCTGCAGCCCCATCCTGCAAATGACATGCCATCTGCTTTTTATGAGAGGAGTCGTGAGCTTCAAAAAGTGAACTTACTGCAAGAGAGAAACTGCAGAAGGTCTTGCCCTCCTTTTCCACCACAAACTGATTAAATTAAGTAGATTAGTTTTGAAATCTTTATAGTTATCTGGCACTGAGGTTACACACCTATATTTGGTACAGTTCTAGCCAAAAGCCTAGAAACTGGGCGATGGCAATTGCTGACTTGCATGTAAAATTGTTGTGGGTATGTCAAAATATAACATGCAGGTTAATTAGATCCCTGTTCGCTGACTCATAGGGAAATGTCCAGCAATAACTTGTACATTTCAGGCCTTTTTTCTCTTCCCTGAAAGGTTTCAACCTTTAGGAAGGTAATTTTTGTCTTTTACATTTTCTTCCCTATCACAGCTGGACTTAATGTTCCGCATTAAAAAGGTGATTGTTTCTTTTCTTAGACAGGGCAAACCAATTGGCTTCTCAGGGCAGAGATATAGTAGGAATAAAGGCAGAGTCTGCAGTATGTTTTGCTACATATCAGGGCTGCTTTAGACCTACAGTGTAATGACAGGGTGTTCACCCAGCATGTGCTGAGCGTATCGAGCACGTTTCAGGCATCTTGAGATTATGAACAGGCAGAGATCTGCTAAGCAAAAGCCATTTTCTAATCAGGGCCCAGGTGTCAGGCAGCCCAGTCAGACACTGGCTATGATTCTGACAGAATTAGCTCCCCTGCAGCTTGAAATGGCCCTTCTTTCTCTCCCAGCCTGTTCACAAATGCTCTTCACTAATTGTGAATAACATGCTGAATTAATAGGGACCACTGCCTGGTGTTCAAACCACTCATTCCCACTCCCTTCCCATTTTGTCCTTGCAGTAATATCTTCCTGCAAGATAATTTGTAGTTCCATGGCTTCATAGGTTACCCTACTGGACTAGATGAGCCTGCAAGGTGTCTTCCAAGCTGAGTTAGTCTATGATTCTCTGTCTTTGTATCTTCCTGTAAAAGTATTTATTATTTAACCAAAAAATATTTAACCAAAAGCCAGTTATCTGCAGCAGCCAGTAACTGCTTAGTGAAGTTTATAAGGAAAAAAAGAAAGTGTAATGTTGTTTTTCCAGTGTCTTTGAGCAGTGATGGTTGATAAACCAGAGATGGTCTCTTTTAGTTTAATAGATGATTCTATGATTGAGACATCTTGTTTGGTTTTGGAGCCCTGAAAGCATTTGGCTTGTCCTCATCACAGATCTCTGCAGCAATGTATATACCCAGAAATACTCTGCCTGAAAACACAGCTTTTTTTTTTTCCCCAAAAAAAGTTCATGTCTAGTCTTTGTAATTATATGCATAGAGTTTTTTAAACATTTTGCTTGTGTTTGTAGTAGCTGTAATGTGACCTTTCTGAATTTCTTGCAGACAAGAGCAGAGCAATCCCAAGGTGCATACTTCTTGCCTGAGTTTGCACTTTCTCCTCAGGGGAGCTTTCTTGAGGACACCACGGGGGAACAATTCCTCACTTACCGTTATGATGACCAGGTCAGTATTCCATCTGTGAAAGTGATAGAGATTGTCACATTTATGTAACTCTGAGATACAGATCACTGTGAAACAGATTAAGATAGACTGTGTGTTATCTAGTGAAGGCACATCAGATTTATAGCAAATTCAACTCTGAAACACTCAACAAAGTGAAAATTGAAGCACTTAATTGCAGAAATTATAAATAAAACCACTCGTGGAAAACATAGGACAAAGGCAGCAATATTTCAGTGATGTATTAATAGATGTTTAGAGTTGTATCAGCAAAATGTGTAGCATTAGGAGTGATTGTTCTTTCTCTGAATTGTTTGACTTGTCCTAAACTGTTTTATCTCATGGAAAAATCAGTGTGAGGCAGATCTTGCATTTTCCAGGTTGTGAAAAGTCACCACATTGCATTTGTTTCTTTATAATTCACCCAACCTTCCCTTATGAAAACTTCATGAACTAATGCAAAGTGTAATAATGGATGGAGCAGTGTTTAGAAAGCAACAAATTATGTATTTGAAAGTCAAAAATCTTTAATGCTTTCTCCAGACTCATAGAAACTTTATGTTAAACATGGAATATAGATATAAATGTAAAGAAAGCAACATGAAAGAAATGCTGTTAATCTTGGCAAGAGATCTAAAGTAAACCTAGGAAATGTGTGGCGTGCTGTGGAAATTTACTCATAACACAATGTGTTCCAGGAATCAGTTGAACTTGACATCAAAACTGTCTGAATTACATTCATAGACACTTACAGTACGTTTCTTAATGTAAGAGGAGGGAATTTGTTAGGAAACACTCCCTGTAGAACTGAGAGAAGAGCCAAATTTCTCTGCATCACAAGGTATGGTTCTGTTGGTGATTGGCAGTTTTATTTTGAAAGATGAGCTCCTTTCAGGAGCTACTTTGAGAAAGTAATTTCCTCATCGCTACTCTAAAGAGAAAAAAAGAACTGATATGCTCAGTTTGAAGATTAAATAAACTCTTCTTTTTAGGAAGGCAAAAGGAAGCAGAAGAGATGCAATAGAAAGTGTGCTGAGCTACTGTAAATTATTTGAATTTAGTTTAAATGTTTCCAATAATTCATACTTTTGCTACCCTAGAAGGTCTTGATTATCAACAGAAAAGGTACTTGGATAAGATGTTCCCTGAACCAAACACCTGGGAATGCAATAACTTACAGGACAGTAAAATGCAGCTGCAACACAGGCTGCATTTAATGACAGTAGTTGAAAAACACTATGAAGGTTATATGCTTTGATCAAAATAGTTTCCATTTATAATGGAGCACATTTTAGAGAAGATGATAAATCAAATATAACAGAGGCTTAGTCTGAATCTTTGACTAGACTGTTTGGACTATGTGAATAACATAGCTGATTAAAAAACAAACAAAATGAATCCCTCTCAAAAAAACCTTCAAATACCAGCACAGTCTATACAGAAGCCAGTTCCAAGCTCAATTCCATTTGATGGAAAGAATTCCTTTTGATGGAAAGTTTTCCATTAATTCCGTTGGGATCTGAATTGGATGTAGGATATGGCCAGCTTCTGTTCTTTCATAAATGTGATTTAGTTTGAAGCCTGCTCTTCCCAGACACTTAGTGAGCAGTATGAAATTAGGTTTGAATTCTTGGAACTGAAAATGGTACTGAAACATCAGAATGCTGAAAATAAAAGCAACTGTATTAGTAGTAGTTTCTTTTGAAAGGAAATTCAGTGCCTAAGCATTATTTATTAAAAATTATAACTATATTGAACGCAGATGGGAACAGAGCTATGTCTCTAGCTTACCTTCCTGCGAGTAAACCAGGAATTCTTTGGTGAATAGAAAGATTATTCTCCTTGATTTTCTAGGTCATTAATCATGGATTTTTGATAATGTTCAGTTATAATTACACTTGTGCTGAAGTGGTCAAACTGGGCCAGAAAACTTGAGTTTTTCTTGCTTTCTGTGTTTCAGTCTATTCTTTTATGTGAAATTTCCAAGTAGGAATGGAAGGAAGTCTTAAACCAGAGGGTATAAGATTATAATCAGAATCTCCTGAATTTTTGTAAGCTGGTATGGATTGGTTTGATGTGTGGTAGCTATGTTGAGGATATGCAAGTAAATAAGAAGAGGAATGTATGTAAATTGAATTCCATTTTTAACCTATGCACACAGAAATGAAATCAGAACAGGAAGGTTGCCACATAAATAAAAAAATGCAGCAGCATCTTCTCACACACCTTAATTCAGTTTGAACAATTCACTTCCTATCTTGTCTGACTGTGAGAGAGTGCTGGCCTGTGGGAAATACATTCCTTCCTTTTCCCTGGACACCACAATTGTCCTGTGGGTATCCCTACACAGTCCTGCTGTTTCTATACAACTCAAGTTACATTAATGTTGTTGAAAATTGAAAAAGTGAAATAACCTTGTACACTTGACCCCAACAAAACAAGAGACCAGTCTGATCTGCTCTCCTGTGGAAATCATACCTCGTTCTGTGTCCATGGAAGGGAGCAGGATAGATAATGGGGTGAGAGGTTTGTGAGAATCTGGCATGGAGGTAGGAGAAGGTGGGTCACAACCTCTGTTCTTTTGGCTAGCCAGTGTTGAGACACTTGCAGGAAAAGTGATCCTTCTATATCTTCCCAAGTGTGCCCTTTTCCCCTTTGCACTGTTCCTTATAGCCAGGCCAATAAAATTTCCAGTTTGTTGGGGTAGATGGATATTGTTTTTATATAGCAGCATCATCATGATGATGATCCAAGATTAGTTTCCTTACATCCTCCAAACACAGGAATGTTTCAAAGGGGTTTTCTTTGGCTGTTGTGTGTGATATTTTTCAAGCAAGGAGCCAGTTTAATCAGAATCATTCATTCCTTTGTTAGTAAGTAAGCTCAGTAAAATAGAACTAGCTGTTACTTAAATATTCGAAAGTATTTGCTATCTGAAAAGACAAGCTTACAGTTTGAAATGGAAGATGAGTAAATATTAATGGGAACACACTGTACTCTGCTCTAGCCCAGCAAAATTACATATGGATTCATGTTGTACATGTAAGATAGTACATTTTGTTCTGGTTTAATCTGGCAGGACTGTGCTCTCATTTTTGTACAGGATTGCAGTAACCCCTTTGCATATTCTGTTGCTATGTGTGTACTTAAGAATTACATGCAGATGAAATTCTTTGGCTAGATCTTTTTTAAATTTCAGTGAATATCTTTTTTTTACTGCTTCTATGACTGTAGAACAAAATACCTTATGAGACCTGATGCTGCCTCCCTGATTCACTGGGGTGACATCTGTGCTGAATGGTACATTATAGTTTTGACACATTTATTGCTTTATCTTCAGGGAAAAAGCAAAACAGTGATTTAAAGAAAATAGTTTTGAAGGATCCCAAAGAACAGAAATGTGGAAATGTTTAAACTGACTTCTATGACTGTAGAACAAAATACCTTATGAGACCTGATGCTGCCTCCCTGATTCACTGGGGTGACATCTGTGCTGAATGGTACATTATAGTTTTGACACATTTATTGCTTTATCTTCAGGGAAAAAGCAAAACAGTGATTTAAAGAAAATAGTTTTGAAGGATCCCAAAGAACAGAAATGTGGAAATGTTTAAACTGAACATTTTTGGCTCCCCCA